GGAAGAGAAGAAAAATATAAATTAAAAAAATAATCAAGATTTTGTATTAAGATACATGAGAAAAGAGGAAGTATGCTCAATATTTTTGTAAGGTCACATATGGATATGAGAGACGGCTGCCCAGGAATGGTGATCAATGGCATTTTCGTCTTTTGTTTTCCTTAATTCACAGAAAGAAGTATTCTTTTCTTTTACATTACAGCACGCACTTAGCCTTCCAGGATCTCCTGGCTTCTTACCCTCCACAACAGTGGTTCACAGACTTGAGTCTACCACAAGATATCCACAGCAGATCCACAGAACATGCCGCATTCTGCCCCATGTAAATAGGGACCTGTTGATTGTAACCTCCTCCCCCAGCTACAGTACAGGGCCTTGACTCTTCTCTTGCTATAACACACACCAACTATTTTCTTGCAGTCCACAACCGATATTGGAAACACCAACCCATACAAATGATTGTCAAGCAGCCTACGAAAATAGTACCTATAAACAAATTGGAAACAGTGAGTCACCTGAAGACCTAAAAGTCCCAAATAGTCTCCCTTGGCATTTCCTCTTCTCTCTCAGACCATGCTTTGAATAAAATTGGCTGAGTTCTTGGGATTGGCAGGCCGCCCGCCGCCTTCTACTGCCACAAGAGAGTTGTCCATTACAACCCCTGTACCCACCTTGCACAGCACATGACCAGACCAACAGTCTGTGTGCGTGCCCATAAGCCTGCATTTCACAGAAGTGCCAATTTACTGAGCACATGGAAATCATCCACTGTGCAAGCACGTGTAACTCAGAAGCAGCCTGCTCACACCTGAGAGCTACTAAAGACAGTCAGTTAACACGAGACGGATGCCACAGAACAACTTGGGAAGGATGAACTGCACTGGCAGCAGCAATTCAAGGTCTGCTGCTCCCCTACGATATGCAGGAATCCAAACTGGTCAAGTAACTGGGAAAAACTTCCCTCCATTTAAGGAAAAGGAGGTGTGCATATCATGATTTCTCCTAGCCAGATACAATTTGACCTTATGGTCCAAGGCTGAGTGAGACTCCTTTTCTCACTGTACCTTTTCTCACACTCTTTAATGGTTTTTGACTATGGCTCTCTTACATTTAATTCAGTGACACAGAAAAGAAATTGCTATTTGGAAACAGTACATATAAATCAGTTAAAAGATTGGTCTCAGATACATCTGATAAAATTTAATGAAGCAATGTGACTTTTTTTTTTTTTTTACTTAGTCTGAATCACAACAGTTTGTGATGGATCAGGCTTACTTTTTTTGGTTAGTCGTATCTTTCCTTGCTGAAAAGACTTGTATATGTCCATATATACAAATATAT